CACAGTTCTTAACGCGGCTTTCATCGGCGGAAACTATCTTGCAAAGTATTTGTCTGGCGACGACGAAAAGGCCGCATTGGAAAGAGAAAAAGCGGCGTAACAAATCCCTTGAAGCATATAATGCCGCTAGGGCCAAATGTACGCGCGACCGCACCAAGCTTCTTGATTAGATCGCAACCAACAGGGAAATCAAAGAACAAGAAAAGCAGAACTTCACGAACACCGATTACGCGTTCAAACTCTATAACCAGGCACACCCAGATCAGCCACTGATCCCCTCCNCCCCCCCCCCCAAAGAACCCTCATTCTCTGACTTTTATCAACCCAGAGAGCAGCAAAAACAAGGCTAGTTGATTTTTGTGGGCGGCAGCGCGCTCGCTCTCGGCTATGCAGCTTGTGGTTTTCTTTGAACTTTTCGCGGGGTAACATAATGGACACCAAGCTCACAAAAGTCTACTACAGTCCCATGGGCTACTGGAAAGGCATTGCTGCCATCAAAAAATTAGCAGAAGCTGCGAAAATATCTGAAGAAACTGCCAAGCAGTAGCTCTTCAAACAAGCTCTTTGGCGGATTTCCCTCCCGGCTCCGCGCTACGTTCGTCGCCCAAAATTCGACGTATGGTGGCCTTACACTTTCCGCCCAGCGGACCTTCTTTTTCTGCCAAACGACAAACTTCCCCGCGGCTGCAAAGTTTACAAATACGCGCCTCCTGTTGTCGACGTGGCCAGCCGTTACAAAGAAGCTGAGCTTCTGACCTCGAAAGACTCTGCAGAAGTTGCTAAGGCTTTTCAGTCGATTTACAAGCACAGCCCTTTAAACTGGCCACAGATGTTGCAAGTTGACCCTGGCTGCGAGTTCATGGGAAGTGTGACCAAAGAAATGGAAAGCTACAAAACATGTATTCGCCGTGGGCGCACTGAAATTCACTGAGATAAAACTATCGTTGAACGTTTCAACCGCACGCTCGCCCAGCACTATTTTGGTCATCAGTGTGCCGTGGAAATGCTCCTAACTTCTGGCCAGCGGTCGACTGCGTGGGTCAAAGGACTTCCCGACGTTGTTAGCGCTCTTAACAATGAGCCGGGTGACTAGTCTCATCGGAAAAAAACCAGTTGTCGCAATCAAAGACAAGGCTGTCACCTCCAAACCCTCTACGAAGTATTCCAGACCTGTTGTATTGAAAGAAAAAAAGCTCCTCCCCTCTCATTAATGTAAGATACTTCTATCAAGCCGGTGAACTTTAAGGTGGGAGTAAAAGAGCTACAGACCCAATCTGGTCTTTGAAAGTCTACCATCTTGAAAGAACTTTAACTAAACCGTATGAGCCTGTTATCTATTATTTGTATGACGGGCCTAAGCGCGGCTTTGTCCGCGAAGAACTGTTGGTTGTGCCTCCAAATACACAGCTTCCCCCTGCTAATGCCGTTCTTTGATATCTTTGTGCCCGTATGCCAGTGTGTGCACTCCGTCATCCTCTATCCAACGCTTTGTATCAAAGGGTGAAAGTGAAACCTTATTCACATGCATGCCATATATCTCGTGGCCCTCGCTGCAAGGAATGTTCATTTCGTGCCAGAATTGATTTCTCGCGAAAATCAATTCTTTGTAGTACTCGCGCCTAACCTTTTTTTCCACCATATTCTTTTTTACCCCCTTGGCTTTCCTGCTATGTTTTTGGTTTTCTTCCAAGACTGAATACATTTTTGGCCTTATAGCAACTGCTTCCTTAATCGTCCTTCCCTGACACTCATCTTTTATCTTGCCCAGAACCTTTTTATTTCTGTCACCTTACAGCATGTTGTCTTGTAGATGGTTGCTTGTGTCATACAAACCAATGTCTTCCACCATATTATCCCCTTTGTGACGTCTTCCGTCTGGATATCTAAGAGAAGGCTGTTTGTGTCTGCGTAAATAAGCTCGCACTTTGGCCCGTACTTAGTCTTCAACCGAGTAGTTATAGAAAAAGTTATACATCAAGATCTTACTGTCCTCGAGAATTGTCATACCTGTGTAAACAGGCTTGTTCAGGAGGAGCTTGCTTCAGTGCATGTGTATGCCTCCCAAGTTATTTCCAAATATCTCATGCATGCCATGCAGATGAAGGGCTGGCCACCAAACGACGTCTCTTGTCTGTCTCCCAGCTTCGAACAATCTTCACATCCTCGCGGTTTCTCAACTTCTCCATCGTTTTGCCGAACGCAGAATTGTTCATCAGTTTGTAAAATTTACTCTCGAAATCGCTTTTTTTCTTTCTTGCTGAATTCAGTTTTCATCCGAACAGTATGGCTCCATCAAGCGTTCTTGTTGAAACTCGATCGCTCTGTGCACCTTTTTCAAACACATCCCTTGTTTGAGATAAAACTGCAGGTTCTTCTAGTGGACCACGTAATTTGTTTTGTCCTCCAGCGTCAGCACTATCTTCTCGCCTTTCGGCGGGTCTAAATTCAAGTCTTCCATCAAACACTTTTGGTAAACCGACATCAACTCCTTTTCGATGATCTTTTTCCCCGGCGCAAGTGGGTAGCTCTTATATTCTTCGTGCAGCTCTTTAGGGTACTCCAGGTCCACCTATAGTATCTATCACTTCTTTGAATTTTCTTTCATTTTCATTTTTTCTTCTTCTTTGAGCATTACACGCTTCCACTTGAAACAGCTTTTTGGCGGTGGCAAGCTCATAGCCCAGCCGTAAAAGTTATTCGCGTCTAAGAAAGTTGTATGATTTATTGGTTTGCCCAGGTCATATCCTTAAACCAGCCTGTTGTTCGCCTTTACATGAATGAATGAATGAATGAATGAATGAATGAATGAATGAATGAATGAATGAATGAATGACAACTGTATTTAAGTCTCAGTCTCAGTAGCTGAGCACAAGTGCTCTACTAATTGGGGAGACTAAAATATAACTCTTGCTCACCATTGAGATGCCTCCTCTGATTTCTCTCTCGATGAAAAGGTCCATTTCTTGATCTGCCAAGAGCTCAAGCTCCATGCCCGTCTTTTTCAGAAGAGCATTCCAGCTCAAGCCCGACGAACTGTAATAATGCGCCGGATCCAGCCCGTATTTTTCCATACATACCTTTCTAAAGTTTTCGAAAACACCTGCTAACAGAAACACGTCTGTTGTTACGTACAAATCGTGAAAGTCACCAAGGTTTTTGCACCCGAATACTTCCCAAACTTTCTGCGCGTGCTCATACTCTTCTTCCGTAATGCTCTTGTCATTTAGCTTTGAGTAAAACGCTTCTTTTGCAGACAGCTTTGCCTCACTAAACCTTTCAAAGGAATTCATGTATTGGTGCGGGTAAATTCCTTTCTTTAAGAGCAGCCTTTTTTTCTTCGTCTTTGTACCTTTTCTGTTATTTTGAAAGACTTGGGGGTCACTGCCTTTTACAAGAGAATCCAGACTGCTAAGCAAGAAATTCACACTATCGGTGAATCTAAGATTTCCCAGTGAGAATGAAACGTAATTTTCCGTGTTGTTTGGTATGCATTTTATTTCTCCATGCACTCTCGACATTGCCTGCATCAAAAGGTTATGAAATACAACCGGGATTGGCACCGTTTGTTCATTATGCGCGGCCCCGCGGTATTTTGCTGTAATGCGGAAATGATCCTTCACTGAGTCTTTGTGGTTCGCAACAACAAAGGCTCTGCCCAGAACAAACTGAACATGTTTCCAGGCTGTTTGCAATCCATTGGTCAATTTGATCTCTTACTTTTCTCTCTCCTTGTGAGCCACTGATTGTCTCTGTTTTGGATGTTAATGATTGCTTTATTATTTTGCAATTTTTTTGGGACAGCAAAATAGCTTCCTCCCCGAAGTGTTCGTATTGAGAAACATTAACAAATGCAGCCAAAATACCTTCCATCAAATTTGCATATCCACGCTGCGCCGAGATTCTAACCCCACACACATATATAATTAGGGCTTCTGTTGCATTTTGTGAGAGCTTTAATTTTACGAAATAAGACTCTCAGTTATTAAATAATTTAAGAAAATTGTTTCATACCTGAGAGTCTTATTTCGTAAAATTAAAGCTCTCACAAAATGTCTCAGAACCCTCATTATATATGTGTGTACAATTCGTATCTATTTTGTAGGAGCCGTCATAATTATCTCTTCCCTCCCCTAGTGCTACACCATTTTCTCTCACCACAGACCAGTTACAAACCGGTTTTACCTGCTTAATCCGAGTTTAATCGAAGGATAGTTAATCGAAGATTAAATCTGTTTTCAGGAACATCATTTTATCCACCGATTAGTTATCCCAGGAATAAGAAATTTAATCGCGGAATAAGCGCTAACCTCGGGTTATCTTAATCGGCTTTAATTTCGAACAACCGGGGCCATGTGAAGAATATGTATGAAAAAAGAAAAGGATTAACGTTAGTCAAGGAAGTGGCACGAACTCGGACCGCTCGATCCAGAGGGTGCAGTAACCATGAGGCCATTGCGCCTCTTATTGTTAGAATGTTGAGTGTTTGTTAATAAGAAAACCACTTGATCATGCACGACTGTGTAGAGCCTAAAGGTGTACTGACTAAAGGCATCTACGGTCGAGTGTCGATAGATACCCTTGATCCCAACACTCAATCGACATCTCAATCAACACTCTATCTTGATTAATACTCGGTAGACATCTCGGTCAACACCTGATTGACACTTATCAACAGTCGGACAATAGTCGGTTAAGTGTCGACCAACTCATGTGTATCGACAATCAATGGTGTCTGCGAAAATTAGTCGACTCTCGATCGACTATTGAGTGAGTGTCAACGGAGGTTTCGATCAAGTCTCGATCGAGTGTCGATCTAGGGTATCGATCAAGTGTAGCGATCGACACTCCACCGCTGATGCTTTTAGTACACATGATCCTAGATACTTAAAGACTCCGTCCTCTCCACCCCAAATGGACACAACCACCGCGTAGCTCCTCATGCTTTTACTGAACAGAAATTAGGGATATGAATCAATTTGAACTTCTAACGTGCCACAATTTTCTATTCCTCAGCTTGGGTTGGTTCGGTACAAATAGCTTTTATATTTGTTCTTGGCCCTTTGACAAGTGCATTGGTGAATCGACTTGGTTGCCGCTTAACTGCAATCACAGGTGGATTATCGTGTGTCAGTGGCCTCTTACTCTCATCTCTTGCTTCAAGTATCTACATCATGTATTTAACTTACAGTGTTTTGTTTGGTTTTGGTAGCAGCTGCCTTTTTGTTTCCTCCTATGTCATAATATCACAGTACTTTGAAAAGTATCGATCTATAGCAACTGGAATTTTAGCATCTGGAACGGGACTGGGTATTATTATTGTTGCACCAATCCTACAAGCCTTGCTGGACTCCTTTGATTGGAGAAAGACTTACCGCATAACTGCTGGGATCATTTCAGTTGTTTGTGTTTTGTGCTCGACATTTGATCCCACTGTAACAAATTCGAAGAAAGGAAAAAACCAAACCCTCAATGGGGAAGATGAAGACTTAGAAAATCAAGATGAGCAGGAAGAAGGAACTACAGAAAAACCAAACGAGTGGATAGACTTCTCTGTGTTTACGGAGAAGGTGTATGTCATTTTGACCCTCTCATTTACATTGGCCTCGTTAGGACACCTTGTTCCAAGGTTGCACTTGGTAAGATTCTGCTATACGTAGAAGTAAGCTGTTTACACTACCATCATCCAGTGGCAGATCTAGGGGATGGGCCCAGGGTACCTGGGCCACCCCTTTCCGCAAAATACTTATCAGAATTTTGGAACCCCATTTTGCAAGGGGTCCTCATGTAATAAAGACGTCTGGGGGCCTCTTTATATGAGCCCGATGATCTGAGCGGGCTGGCGTGGTTACCGAGATAAATTTTGTTATCTGTTGGAGATATATGGGAAATTTTAGCCTGGTCAACTTGAATGAACTCCAGAAACAAAACCAAAATGGTGCAACATAAAGTTGCATTGTTCGCAGTTAGCCTATCATGGGGGAGCAGGGGTGGCGCAGTGATGAGATCGCTCGCCTCCCACCAATGTGGCCCGGGTTCAAATCCTGGACTCGGTGTCATATGTGGGTTGAGTTTGTTGTTGGCTCTCGTCCTTGTTCTGAGGGTTTTTCTCCGAGTTCTCCGGTTTTCCTCCCTCCACAAAAATCAACATTTCTAAATTCCAATTTGATCGGGAATTCGAGAGCCACGGGTTTGTCAGTCGTAAGACTGTTGTATGTTACCCTCGTTAAACAAAGCTAATTTGTTTTATTTTTCATGTTGCAACAAGGACTGATAATGATAAATATGACAAAAAGTTGACAAAAGATAAAAAAATTGCTTAGATGAAGACACTTTTGATACCTCTAATTACTCAGAATTGCAGTACATTCAGTTTTATTTTGATTTGTCGTATGGGCTTGCCAAAGTACAAAAAGGCTCTAGAAATATTTAGTATCATAACCACTATTTGCCGCTAAGACATCATGGTATTTCAATGTATTAATTTTTAAATTAATATATAAAAATTCTCTCATTTTCTTCACGGCAGGTAAAATTTGCAGAAGGCCTCCACGTGTCAGCTGATGCAGCTTCAAGGCTTTTCATTTATATCGGTATCACCACATTTATTGGCCGATTGCTCGGCGGTTTCTTGTGTAGCATGAGCCGTGTAAATCCCTTGTATGTGTTCATGGTTGGTCTCATTCTAGATGGCTCGTCTGCAATCTTTCTTTCTCAAGCTAAACACTATGGACAGCTTATTGCATTTGCCTTTTCCTATGGATTAGCAGATGGTCTTGTAATAGGCACTTTTAATATTACCATACTCTACTGTGTGGAGCCAAGTAAGAGAGCATCAGCATTTGGTTTAGCTGCTCTTTTCTATGGAACAACAACTGCCACTGGCCCTCCTTTGGCAGGTAAATTATTACTGTAAATATGGGCAGACTAGATAGTGTTATATCTACAGCAATGCATCTGTGAATTAATATATCAAACACTAGATACAGTGTTTCATCAGGATATCCAAACAACGAGAAGAGAGTTGAAAATATGCCGAGTAGCGGAGTATTTTTGAAGAAATTTGACGAGGTGCTTGGATAGCTGATCAAACATTGTCTTGAGTGTTTGATATATCTTCTCCATTGAAACAAAAACTAAGGAGTAAACGGAGAGGTGAAATCGTCAAAATCTATGCTAGTTAAGACTGGGTATCCAAACCTCCTCCACGGTTGTGATTTTCTTTGTTTTAATGAGGTTGAGAACAGATATTAGATAAGTTTTGCCACTTTTATCAGATTAGATTCCCATACCCTAGTGGGAAATGTAGGTGGCCAGACTCGAACTGTGCCACGAGTAAAATCTTGTCACGGAAACTTGTTCCTTAACACGCACACCACTATACCACCGAGGAAAATGACCCAGTCTTTGTCACTATTTTGGATTTATTTCCTTGATTTAATAACGACGTGGTCGACTGAAATTACAATTACATAAAGCTAAATTACTAATAGCGGGTAAGTGGTTCTACACGCGAAAAGAGAAAGACAAACTAGCTATGTACAATAATGGAAAACAAACATAACTGAAACAGGCTGAAATTAAATGCTGATGAAATAGACTTACTCACCAACGATTCCGGGTTAAATCATATCTTGTCTTGACAAGTTCTTTAGCGATTTCTGATTCTTCGATCACGCGCGTTACTGAAATCATCCTATAGTGCTATTAACTGGCTCTTATAACAAAATATATCCTACGTGATATTCTGTAAATCACAGAACGAAACCTGATGATAGATACTTAGTTGCGCCTATATTGCAGCGGTCACAGGAAAGAAGCAGCTACCAATGATTTGGAATACAGTAATCAGAGCATTTTAAAAATGAACCAAACATGGATGCATTGACTCCGTTTAAGTTATCAAATTAAAAATCTAACAGTTGCTCCACGCATAATAACACGTGGAAGAATATTTTGTGGATAACTAAGGCATTTGACATACTGAGTAAGACTAACCATCTCACATCCAACAAGTGCATAACTGTTTCATACAACTAGGAAAGTACATGTAGATCAAATAAATCTTGCTAATTTTGTGGCTGATGTCCACACTGCTTAGCCACTTAAATTATCCAGACCCAGCTCTTATTGCAGTGAAACTTATATTAAGCAGACTCTGCCCTCAATAATCGCAAACGTTTCTTCCCAGTAGATACTAACAGGGATCTAGGGGTTGCAGTGTTCCAGATAAGTAGAGGGTCTCAGGTAAAAAAAACCCTGCAAGGTCAGCCACATGACCCAACATATTAATATTTGGTGGAGGCAGTGGCCATGGGAATTCCTTGTTGTCACCCTACATTGAAAACCTATCTGGAACCTTGGGGTGTCCCCTTAGTACAGGATACACTGTTACAATCATACTATTTAAGATGATAATTTTTTATCAGATCTATCAGTTTCGTTTTCTTTATCAGTTCTTTGCTATAAATATCACCTATGATCTGCTAGACTCCTAATTGAGAAGTTTGTCATCCAGCAGGCAACAATAGACCAATTTCGATATATAAAAATTCAGCCTAACACAATACACGTCAGTACGAGGCTCTGGGGAATAAACCCTACAAACTCTGTAGTTATTCCCCAGAGCCTCGTACTGAAGTCTATTGTTTTAAGCTGAATTTCAATATATCAAAATTGGTCTATTGTGTTCAAAGTATATCTGGATGGTTATCAGAGGCGAGTGAAGATACAAGGTAAGCTTCTCAATAATCGTGACTTCTTTTTCTTCCGCAGGTTTTATAACAGATCGTCTCCATACATATGTTCCATCTTTCATCATGGTTGCTGCAACAGAATATACAGCAGCAGCATTGCTTCTAATCCTCCTCTGCAACAAAAGGAAGATGCAGAATTACAACCCTTCAGATTCTTTAGAAGGCATGCACAATGACCATACAGGTGTAATGCTGTGGGAGACCCAGGTGTAAATCTCACTAAAAAGGAGCCTCTAACCTTTCAATCAGCAGTTCAAATGCCTTAACTGGCCAAACAAATTGAGGGCTCTGATAAACAGTCATAACTTTTAAGACAACTTTATTCTTGTTTCCATAAAATTTACTGTGCATGAATAAATACATTAAAACAATAAAATTGGCAGCTTGTTCATCCATACTCCAGTGTTATAAGACTCGCACGCAAAGCTTACTTGAAACTGAGGTAAGCAACATAAAAATTCCAAAGACTTCATGTGCATTTGGCAAGAGTAGCACATTTATTAAATGTAATTTACTAACCAAAAAAATATGAAAAACATCAGAGAACCACATAATATTGATCTCACTACATTGACATTACTGAAAATTTTAATTTTGTATGTCGCCAAAAATAGGGTTATTTAGATTTCTTCAAAGGTATAAATTGCTGCTTATAAAGTGATACAATGAAGTAAATATATTTTTGCACTCTTTTACAGTTGTTTTCCTAAATTTGTTTGGCTTTTTTGAGCACGCATTAAAAAAAAACTGTCTTTGGAATTTTGCTCAAAACCTTATGTCTTTTGCTTTGCTTTCATCAGAGCTTGGGGCCCTCAAAAAAACCTTACCCTATTTAAGACCAAAATCTGCAATTTTCCCTACTCTATTTAATACCTGACCCAATACAAAATTACCCTGCTTCAGACCTGCCTTATAATTCAAACCAATGTTAAAGGCATTGTGGAGGGCTAAGGGGGAATGGAATAAAGCCCTTTTAGAAGATGTTAGGGTAACCAGCATTGAAATACCTCCCAACAAGTAATGCAGTTTAGTCTTGTCATCATCATTGACCAAAAGGAACTAGTAGTAATTACTAGTTCCTTTGAGGCAATAACTAAAACCAGAGTAAACTGTGAAAATTACGGGTAGGTATTTCAATCCTGGCTGCCTCAAAATTTTCCAAAAGTCACTTAGGGCTTTATTCTATGCACCCCTTCAATAATATTGTCTTTAATATCAATAATGATGAAAAAGTAGCTTTTCTAAAAAACATACCCAATAAGAATTCAAACCTAAAGTGCAAAAGCTATACCCTATTCGAGACCAACATAGCCAAAATCCGTAAATTTCTGACCAAAACGGCTAAAAAATCATAACCTTTGGGGCCACACATAGCTATATAGCCCATATAAGGGAGTACCCTCCCTAATACCACACAATCTGTTCTGCAATTAACGAACAAATTGACGTCAGTTTTTCATGCATCTGTGCTGTTATTGATCATGAATTTATTTTAGTATTGTATGTAATGTTAACATGGTAAGTTATGTGTCTTTCAAATAAATTTAAAAAAAGATCATGAATTTACTGATCTTGAATTCCTGTTATTGATCCTGTTATTGAAAATGATTTTGTCATAACATTGATAAGGTAGCTGTGGACCCACGAGGTGATAGCCAAGTGGATCTGCAGACTACTTTGACAATGTTATGATGAAGTTCATTGTCAATAACAGGACAGATGCATGAAAAGCTGACATCAATTTGTTTTTTCGATAACAAACTGTCAAATTGTGCGCTCACACTTGTTGACGCATTGCATTAATTATAAAATATCACATGCCTGTCCGTGACAATGAAAATTGACCAATGAGCATGCGAGAATTTCTGCAGTTATCATAAAACATACTTTCTCTGAGGGTACACAGTTGATATACAACCAGCCTGAGAAAAAGAGATCTACTTCAGACAAAAGACATTGACATTGGAGTATATAGCAATGGGGAATCAAAGCAAGTGCCCCGGGAAATGGGAATTTGACAAACCGGAAATTTCTAAATGTCAAATGCCCTCAAGGAGTAGGGGATCACAAAATAACACAACAAAAGCTAAAAGAATGTCAGGTAGCATAAACAGAGACTGTGAGATGCCTGTTGTTCAACGAACCCTTCTGCTCTTGAAACGAGCTTTAACTGTTGCAAGTGGCGATGGTGAGGCAGGGGTCAAACGTCCTCCACAGTTGCAAGTGTCCAAACGGTTCTCTAAGAATTTCACTCTTTCTTCCATTATCCTTAACCTGTTCTGCGCCTCAAGCTGTGAGTAAAACGCATTTGTCTCCATGCTGTCCCAACACGATAGCTATGATACGAAGGTCGTGATGCAACGCTGAACAACTTCCTCGCTCAGTTGATGTCGCTGGGACACTACTACAAACTGCAAAGCTTCCTCGCGTAATGTTTGCGCCGCAGATGAATGGTGATGCTGTGTGATAGTCGTGATTGGTTTGTATGTGTCGAGCACGAATTTCTCGCTCCGTTTCTTCAGTTCATCCATTTGATATTCAGAAGATAATTCGATTTTGACGAGAAATGGCATGCTCGCAGTAAGGGTAAATAGCTCGAAGCAGGTCTTCTATCTCTTCCACTTTCTTCCCTGGAAGTGGAATTTCCTTCGCGTTCTTCTCTTTAAAGTTAGACGACATCATTGTCTCAAAGACGGGAGAAGAAATCGCCAAAATGGCTTTGTGAACGTGGAGTTTTCGTTCCTCTACCAACAGCACCAAGTCACTCATCTTCCAAGGTTTAGAGAAATCCAGAGTCGATTGGTTACATTCTGCCGGTCTTTTCTTCACTGGAGTTGTTGAGATCTCAGGGACCTCGTCGCAATCAGAAGAGGAGGAGGCGAAATATTCTCTTCTTGCCGCCATTTTCAAAAGTCAACCTCGGCTGAAGATAGAGGTACTTGGGAACGAGGGTCGGCAACGAGGTTGTTTCGCGCCTCGTTCCTGGAGTCCGCGTTACCCTTTGGTTGATTTATACTGCCATTAAGCGTCTTTTTAACAACATTTTTAACATTTACTTGTAGTCTAAAAGACGCTACGCAGTTTCTTCAATACTATTCACTTCTTGTCACTTCTTCTCGTTACCCTTGTCCAGTGGAACAGGAAATTTCCCCTCTCCCCGAACGTGGGGGGAAAGGAAGATTGCGTGACGAGCCCAAACAGTGTCTTCGTCTGCGTGTGCTGAACCAGCCCTGAATAATTTTTCCGGAGATAAATATTTTTTGAGTGGGTTTTGTTTGGTTGCACGTGGTTTTCTTTTTTCTGTTCAATTTTAATTATAACATACAGTGGTGTATTATTATTTTTCATTGGATAAGCTTCATTTCCGGTATGTGTCAAATAGGAGAACGTTGCGTGATGCTCAATGTCACACCACGACAAATTTTGCTCCGCTTGGAAGCTTGGAAGGTCTTGGAATGGCATGCTGTTATCTTTGTTCGTCGAGTGCAGCTGCAAAATGCAGATGCGGGAAAGATCTTGATAGTCCCTGGTCGTGGCTAGTTTGTTTCTCTGCCACATTTATCATTGTGCTAACGCTCGGCATCTCGCTCAACTTTGGAGTTCTGTTCCCAGTGTTAATGGTCTATTTTCAAGAATCACGGGAACGTATAGGTAAGTTTATAGAGCGGTTTTCAATTGAGTGTCGTAAAACCAAAACCAAACCAGTTTCATACCAATTAGACTACTCAGCCAATCTCAAACCGTAGTAAAACCAAAACCAAAACTAAAGTAATTGTCTAATTACCTTCGACACTCAAATGAAAACCGCCCTAGTTCATCGTCCATTGATAATTTCATTCAGCATACATTCGACAGTAACCATAAAACGAACACAGGGTAACTAATTTTTTTGTCGGTTTGCCAGAACGTCATTATTTAATCAGGGGCGGACAAGAATTAAAAAACACTTGACGTTAAATTTGAAGTACAGGAGGAGAATATGTATGTAGGAACAAAGGGAAATGCTAGCCAAAGAATTTGCCTCATAGGATTTCCCTGACCCTGGGGGAAATCAGACGTTAATTTCATCCTTTTTTTCAGTCAGCCTACGCATTAATAAATCCCTTGACATAAAATCACACTTAGACTCCCTGCAGTATATACGCTATTCATAGCATATAACAAAGCACACTGTTAATTAGAATTAACTAACTTAGTTAATTAGAGTGTTTAATAGTAAATCATTTGACTGTGTAGATACTAAGGGTGCACTGAAGGCATTCACAGTAGTGTCGATCAAAATCCTTGATCCACCCATGATCATCACTCGATCAACATCTCAATCAACACTCTATGAATATCTTGATGGATACTCGATCGACATCTCCATCAACACCTGATTGACACTTGATCAACATTCAGTCAATAGTCAACCAAGTGTCAACCAACTCATATGTATCAATCGACACTCAATAGCATGTCTGCGAAAATTAGTTGACTCTCGATCAACTGTTGACCGAGATGTTGATCATGTGTCAACAGAGGTGTCGATCAAGTATTGATTGAGTGTTGATCAAGGGTATCCATGAAGGGTACAGATCAACACTCCACCGTGGATGCCTTTAGTACACATGATCCTAGATACTTAGCCTGCGAGCAGGCTGTCATCATTGGTGTCATGAGCATAGCTGTCAGCGAGCGAAGTGAGCTGGTGAGCAGCTTGGCATGAGTCAGGTGACCATGCCAATTCAAGTCAGATCTCAAGTCAGGGGACTCATGCCATTAGTGAGGAGACTGGCACGAGAAATGAGAGCTGTTATTCTCACCTGCTTACTTCCACTCACTGACTCCTGCCAGTACCCTCAAGAGCTCACTCCATTTGCCAATTCACCAGCTCACTTCACTCGCAGATGGCTTTGCTCATGCCGCTAACAATGAGAGCCTGCTCGCAGGCTACTAGATACTTAAAGACCCCTTCCTCTCCACCCCAAATAGACACACCACCACCACCTAGCGCACCATGATTCTACTGTAGAGGAATTAGGGATATGAAATTCAATTTGAACTTCTAACCCACCACAATTTTTTATTTCCCAGCTTGGGTTGGTTCAGTGCAAATAGCTTTTATATTTGCCCTTGGCCCTTTGACCAGTGCATTGGTGAATCGACTTGGTTGCCGCTTAACTGCAATCATAGGTGGATTATCGTGTGTCAGTGGCCTCTTACTCTCATCTCTTGCTTCAAGTGTCTACATCATGTATATGACTTACAGTGTTTTGTTTGGATTTGGTGGCAGCTGCCTCTATCTTTCATCTTATGTAATAACCTCACAATACTTTGACAAGAACCATTCTATAGCAACTGGTATTACAGCATCAGGAAGTGGACTCGGCGTGCTTTCTGTTGCACCAATGCTACAATCCTTGTTGGACTCCTTTGATTGGAGAAAGACTTATCGCATAACTGCTGGGATCATTTCAGTTGTTTGTGTTCTCTGTTTGACATTTGATCCCACTGTAGCTGAGAGAGGAGAAAGCACTATTGATGACAGGAAATGCAAGGAACAGGAAATGTCACATGAGCAGGGTGAGCAAGTCCTTCAGGAGAGGAAAAAGTGGTTTGACCTTTCTGTATTTAAGGAGAAGGTGTTTGTTGTGTTGACTCTTTGTAACACCATGGCCAGCATAGGACACAACACCCCAAGGTTACACCTGGTAAGATTGTCCACAAATTCTAGTTATTTCTACTTTTGAGGGGGACCAGAGGTCTCATCCTTGATGCCAAAGACTCCAGATATCCCACACTTCAGGGTTTCAGGCCATGATACCAAAGGCCAGGATATGGTTGTCAGTTGACTCCTGGCAATCACAGAACCTCTTTGCTGAAGAATATAAAATGGTATCAGTTAGTTAGTGGCAAGTAATGTTTGGAAAACCTGATAAAATGTTGGGCATAACCTGGCATGTGATGGACTGATATCCTCCCAGGAATCAAGCAGCAAACCTTCTGGCTGCTAATTGCTTGGTACTACAAAAATCAAAAGCTTGATACCTTGCTACTAACAATAAATATTCATTCAAGTTATAATGATACGTGACCTGTAGAAGCCCTGGTAGTCTAATGGTGAATACGCTGGACTCCATTCCAAGTATTTTGGGATCAAGTCCTGGTCAGGGTCACTGTGTTGTGTTCCTAGGCAAGACACTTTACTCTCACAGTATTTCTCTCTATCCAGGAGTATAATGGGTACCAGCAAATTCTTGGGCCAACCTGACACAATGATGGGGTGTTAATCTCCAATATGCAGACTAGCATCTTATCCAGGGGGATTAGCATAATGCCTCATGCCGTAAAAACGGGAGTTAATACCTTGGCCTTAATCTGTATTATCCTCTGGTTTGCACAAAAAGTCTTCAGCACAGTCATGTGCATTCAGAGCATTCACAAATATTTCCATCTTTCAGGTAAGATTCTCAGAAGACCTCCACGTGTCAGCTGATGCAGCATCCAGGCTTTTCATTTATATTGGTATCTCCACATTCATTGGCCGATTGCTCAGTGGATTCTTGTGCAACATGCGCTTTGTAAATCCCATCTTTGTGCTCATGTTTAGTCTTGTTCTAGATGGCTCATCTAACATCTTCCTGTCTCAAAGTAAAACCTATGAACAGCTTACTGCATTTTCCTTTTTCTATGGTTTGGCAGATGGTCTGGAGATAGGCACTTTCAACATCACCATGCTCAACTGTGTGGAGCCAAGTAAGAGGGCATCAGCATTTGGTTTATCTGCTCTTTTCTATGGGACAACAATTGCCACTGGCCCTCCTTTGGCAGGTACATTTATTTTACTACTAACCATAAATATGGACAGACTGGATAATGATATTTAAACAAGCCCTCTTGGCAGCATGTTTTTGATCAGATGATGTTAACTAAGATAAATCTTGCCATTTACCTGGCACTAGACTCTCATACTCAAGTGGG